TGAGTGATCGTTTTGTATAGATAGATAACTGTAAATGATGTTCTCCTTTTTTTTTCATTAATACCACTTATGCGTAATGGCGACTGTCAAATATTGAGCGGCAGTTACATCTAGTACACCCAGTTTTATGTTTAGTATAGGAGTGACTATATTAGTCCCGTGTGTCGGAAAAACACATTTTTTTTCTATATTCGGGTTACATACAGGCATAACACGTGGTTAATCGATTTAGCGGGTTCCGTGTTTGATATGGTCATATGGCACTGTATAAAGGAAAAAGTCCTTTGAGTCGATAGTCAATAGAGAAAGTTAAATTAAATATTAGTCTTTGGTGTGTGTTTATTTAGTTTCGACGTTCGGCTCTTGCGGTTGGCATGATTTTGACTTTAAAACTTTGCGAAAAGCCTGTTTTTGTGTTTTTTTACACTTGCTGACGAATTCTTTGACAGAGATATTTTCGATGTTTTTTTCATAAAAAAACCAAAGAACAACAATGATTTCTGACAATGAATACCTATTTAATGCCGAGTTAATTAGTATAATTAATGTTTTTGTCTTCATAAAGTGATGTAATGAACCTAGCAAAGTTATTCATTATCACAATGGTGAATCGTATGAAATGGCTTTTCATCTTTTGAAATTGTGCGTAATATTTCATGATAGAAAGTAAAAAAACAATACGGTTCTCCATTATAGGGATGACGACAAATTTTAGTTGGTTAGTCCTTCAGGCAGATTGTTGAAAAATATTGAACATGTATTGGTTTTTATTTTTTCGAAATCATTAAATTACAGCGATACATTGAGTTAAAATGTCACATGAAGTCACGCTTTGGTACATTTTCTACAAAACTGTGACGTAGCAAGCCACTCCTCAACTTTAAGTAAAAAAATACGTAGGTATTTAATATTTTTCTATTACCTGACTGACTCAATAAATTGTTTTTTTTTTTATCTAGTCGTCTTCCCTATTGTTATTTGAATTATGTAATTAGTACTGTTTAAGAAGTATAATTAAACAAATATATGTATATCTAGTAATAGTTCTATAAATTAAATGCTTTTAGTTATTCATGATTAGCAAAAAAATATTGTTTGAAAATATGTTCTACGAACATAATAATGGAGCGACATATATTTTTGAAGAGTAACCTGAATGCGTAGAATTTCTGGGGTCTTTAGGTGTCTTTAGGTGTCGTCATCTCTGAGGTCCCGGGTTCGATTACCGGTCGGATGATTGTATCTGATCTGTTGTGTTACCTTCGTTGTTTCAGATTTTTGTATTACAAATTGCCGTAGCTGCTCGGAATCTGAGTTCACTGAATCACAATTTATGTGTAATCTTTTAATATTTATTTATATTTCATCATCATCAACCTATTAATGCTTTTACTGCTGGAGTCACGTACTTCCTCTTTAATGGAATCGAATCCAATAGAGAGGTTGGGTCACCACGCCCAGTCCAGATTAGAAAGTGTTATCGACTTAGATTTCGAGATAATAAATCTTCGGTCACCCATCCTATGGACCAACCCGTGCGAAAGTGGCTTAATCCCCATAAACGCGCTAACCACTGCATCATATCACCGTATATTTTATGTTATACTAGCTTTTCTCTTTGACTTCGCCCGCGTGGACCTGCATTATACCTATGTACACATAAAGCTTCCTCTTGAATCACTCTGTGCATTGATGAAACCGCATTAAAACCCGTTGTGTAGTTTAAAAGACTCCGCGTACAGATAGAGAGTAATGAATTTGTTTTACAATACGACGCCTTTGATGTTAAACTTTGATGAACTGCAACTGGATGGAACCGACTGCTTGTCAATACGGTTAGTTGAGACTTGAGAGAGAACAAATAATTGAAAAAAAGAAAACTTCAATCACACAAAACAACTCAACGACAACTTATAGAAATAAATTTATAATTTCGCTTCTTTTATCGCTATGACGTCGACAGACATTCCATTATCTTAACTTTTAAAAAGTAGAACCTATTTGTGAGCTGTTAATTTTAAAAGTACTACTGTTTTCCCGCTACATCGCCCATGTAAATTATAGCTTATAGCACCCGCGTATAATGTAACTTTCCGTAGGTGAAGGAATTTTTATGATCGGCTCATTATTTCCGAAGATTTAATCCTACAAACAAACAAAGGTAGAATCTTTACCTCTTTTTACTATTAGTATAGATTACTCCCTACAAGCAAACAAACGAATAAAGCTAGAATCTTTACTTCTACATAATATTATTATAGATTGTCATGTAGGTAATATTTGTAATTTTTGCAAGTACGTATTTTTTATTACACATAGTAGTTACATCTATTTAGCGAATTCTTCTATTTGTTTCATGAAAAATACAAGAAAATATAAGTCGATTCCCATAATAGTACTGAAATTAAACGGTCATTGCGAACTGACAAGTTGAGTAACTTTAAAAATATAAGAAATTAAATTAATGCCAGTAACTAACGATGCTCCTTTATTGCAAAAGATGATTTAACGGTAAAAGCAATTCGAGCGTTACTTAAACACTAATTAGCCATACCAGTTGTGGCCTGTAGTGGGCCCTGTGACACCGATTGGCCCAACTGAATTATAAATCAGCATACATTGTTTCATTGTTCCCATTACAACACAAGACTCTAATTACAGTAATATCCTTTGAGTAGGTATCACCTTCGTGTCTACGGAATGCACGCAATGCTTCAAGAGTCAGTGTTACCTATGCCTAGAAAATAATATAGCTAACATCAACATGAAATAACCTTATATGAACCAGTTAAATAATAAAAAAATAAATAATATTTCACTATATTTTGATTCCGTAAATTCATCATTACAAATTCGATCTAGTGAATCTCAAATGTATTTTTTTACATGCAGGTACATTTAAATTTTGACATTATGATTTCTGTTACCTAAACATTTATTTAAGATATTGTGGTTATTGAAATTGAAATTTATAATTAGAAAATGGATGTTTCTTGTAAAAACTGTTTTTTGAATGTTTAATCTGTATTTATACTTATTTGATATTGTTTGTATATCAAATAAAAAAATAAAGAAAAGGGCCTGTCCTTTTTCATGGGAACAGGCGATAACTATCTGGCAACAGCCAGACCTGGTTTAACCCTAAATGTCTAATTTTAAAATGAGTACTAACTTTATAGTACAGGCTTAAACCATAATCCGACCAAAATAAGTGGACATGGCTCAATTTGATTTATTTTCTTCTGTCATTGTCAATTTGCTTCAGGCAGGCATTAGTTTAAACATAAACTTTAGCTTTTTATAATAAGACGGCAAAGTGTTAAGAAAACGAGCATAAGAGAATTGAAAATAGTTAATAAGACAGATGATGGCGTATTGATTTCGCGAAATATAGCTTCAAAAGTTATTGACTCTATAATCATTACCATTATAATAAAATCGTTCAAGGAAAACAGGGTCTCATTAAGATCACAAATTTAATATCTTTGAAATGTAAAGGTTGCCTTAATTACGGCTTTTTTGGTCTTTACCCATTTGTGTTGGTTTCTTATACCTAACTACAAATCGTACCAAATGTCTACTTGGAGAATTCATTAGTATTTTTTATTTCGCCAAACCTCTTTGTAAATTAAATAGTATTTCCTTTTTTTAATTCCTACGTCAGTTGATATGAGGGGATGTTATAATTAGTTGTTGTTACGCGTATTTAAGTGCATTGAATGTTAAAATAACACTTTATGTATTTCTATTATAATTGCGTAAAACAAAATTAAATTCAGGGTCAGATTCGTAAAGTTTCGTTGTTTTAGGTTCTAGGTCAAGTTTGTGTTAATTTTAGTAGTAATACTTTGACTATGTCAAATTACCTGCGACTTTCCATAAAATTGTTTAATAAAAGAGTAATTTACTTACAGTAGGTACTATTCTACTACTACTCAGAGGATTGCTCAACTTTTTTGTTAAAAATAAGATATTACTAAAGCCACACTTTACGGCTCATTTATAATTATATTAAAGCAATAAAATTATTAAGTGTGTATCACATGAATTATGTGCTGACACGGTTTAAACATTACCAAATAATAAACAGCATTATTGTTTCTGATATGGAGACCTCCACTATCGATTTTTCAATATTTGTCATTACAGACCAAAAGAAGACTTATGCTGTAAACTATCACGTCGCGGCCGTATGCCGGACACAGCGGAGGCATTATAATAGTCTATATATATTTTCGATACGCAAACTTTAAAAGATCTAAGTATAAGTTTGATACTTTTTGAAATCCCTTAAAGAATGAAATATCAAAAGCGTGGTAATATAGAAATATGTTTCAGCCACTTAAATGCGATAATAAAAATATGCAATCATATTGTTCATCTTTAATCAAAAATTGTTTAAAGGTATAATAACACTTAAATATCATTAGGTAAAGATAGATTAGCTAACGTCAAAATAGTGGTTGTATTATGAAGAGTTGAAGTTTTAATTGGAGTTTTAACTATGTCGGTACTCGCTCGACTAAAGATGACCCTTTACATGATTTAATTGTTCTGGCATTCTGGTTCATATATCTACGTATATTTAGTACCAGATACAGTATATCCATCAGATGATATTTATTAAAAAATGTTTAATTACGCAATTCTTTTCCTCATCGAAAAGTTTCTATCTTTAAAAAGGACTGATTAAAACTGCAAATTATTCTTAAACTAATCGTCTTATAATTTACTATGAGATTAATTATTTACTCATCACTGTTTTACTTAATTTACTTATCACGCTAGATGCACTGTCAATCGTTGCTTTATGTCCTAAAAAGCGGCATAATATGAGCGTTCGATCACAGCCACTAGATAAAGTATCATAACAAAGTCCAGTTTGCGTATGCACACGCACGGGAGATGCGCTCGAGGCGCGGCGGGATCACTGTGGCGTCAATGCAACCTTGACATTTGACGGAGGCGCGAGGCGGCACGGGCCGCATTATCCACGGCCACTAGCCCCATCGGCGAAAACGGCTGTATTGCGGCACAGGCAGGTAGGGATACCTCGCTGGTACTCGCACGTTCTCCAAGTTATATCCCCGCCGTCGCCGCACCAACTCTTGACTATTTTCGCTCTCCTGCTTCTTTGATGGCCGCAAAATCGTCACTACATTAGATTCCAATATCACATTGTCTGATGCCACTACATCATCAGGTTTCGTTCTGGTTATTAGATTTGCTCTATTCTTCTGCGCGGCGAGGTATTGATCGTTTAGTACGTAATCGAGTAATTTAGGAACTTGGTTGTAACTGGTGTCGATCTCCCTCTCGTAACCGAGCCGGTCTCGAGGTATAGCGAACGCGGGCGCAACGAGTGCGAGTGCGAGCGCGAGGTACGCGTGCATGTTGCGGTGTGTATCGGCTGTTTGAGCCGCGCGGGTTCAACACACATTTTATATATGCGAGCGATCGATACGATTCGTTCTCAATTTGGGTAGATTTTTTTTGTGTGTACATCGTATAGATGTGCGCCGCTCTTGAACTTGGCAGTATTCATGTGGATATGCAGATGCTAGGGTATATACCTATATGTTGTTCGCGAGACGGTTGCGTCGTGCACAGCGATTGCTTGATGCAATTATTCGCATAATTTGATGCACTGGTGGCTACGAACGCTCATGAACCTTGTTCCACTTACATTAGTAGACATTACCTATCGTTACTGTCGAACCTACAAGGTGACCATCACACCTGTGCTGGTGTGATGACGGACGTTCATTATCACACCTTGGATCTAATGTTGTGGGCATAATAATCGATTTGCATGCAACTACATAAATGCGTATAATAATTATGTCGCACTATTGTACAATCTACTAAGAAGATAGGCGTTTTTCCATTTGAAATGAGATAACGCTTGACCATGTGTCCACTCATATCTACCCCATTATCTTTTACTTATATTTAGGTAACGAACTCAAAAAAGGCTCTGATGGTTGTTTTAGGGTTTCAATTTAAATTGATATTGCGCGTTCTTTCTGTTTATTAAAAGATGTTACAATTAATATTTACTGTTTTATTATTTATCCAGCAATTATTGTTTGAAAAATGCCGTGCTTTATATATCACACAACAATATTAATTACAAAATAGTCTAGATGTCTATTTTAAGTTCGTTGGTTTGAGAGTTATATTTTATCTGAATACAAATATACATTATTTATAAAATATTCTTCTTATATATCAATAATATATTTTCATAAAATGACAGTATTTTGGAGTATACAGACGTTTGCGGCAGAGAGGTTTTGTCCAGCCAAACCACCACAAAGTCGATATATTTATTCCTTTATATTAATATTCATTTTATTTATATATTTAAAGTCGATTAATATCATGCGGGATATCATATTCGGATTAACATCATGCATGCCCTTATTGACCTAGTCGTTTATTGTTTTTGTGTTGTTTCTGATTGTTATTGTTCTATTTTAGACCGGTCAATGTTTATTTTGGTTTTTCTATACATTTCGCACTAACAAACTATCAATTATCCATTTACAAACAGTTTTTTCGCGATTCCGATCAAAAAGAGCATAGAAAAAAGTATTTTGATTGAGAGTTTGGATTAAATATAATTATATTATTTTTCGACTATTTCTTCCTTTGGATCCATTTTATTTAAGATAGTATGAATATGAACCAGATAAATAATTTTAGTACTTTCTATGGGACATGCAAAAGTCAGCATTTTTTGCACCATACATATATCGATGTCCAAATGCAGGTCATTTTAATAGAGTTCAAGACGCTTCTGCTTCTTGGATTTGCATCTTAAATACATTTCAAATAAATAATGCTGAGACAATTCATTATATAAAGTTGAAGGTTTGAACTTCAATTTGTGCTCTGTGCATAACCGCCTTAAATTGAACATTTATAGATACACGATTTCTTCACGGATAATAATTTAAATAACCACAGATGAATATTTAGATTCCTACAGTAATAACATTGTGAAGAAAATGTGTATTTTTATTACATTTTTATATTTAACGCAACAAGTTTTGGACGAGTTTTATTTTCTTGAGCTCTTGAATGTTTTGGATCTTCATCATTCTTGAGTACCTAGATACCAGATTCTAGTGTTTTAAATAGGCAAAACACAAGGCGAGTATGTTTTATTATAGACTCCTTAGAACCAGTTCAAGAGATATTGTTTTAAACAGTAGTATCTATCAGCAAAATATTTCTTTTTACTATGGTTTTGTTAAATATTATTTTGGATGAGATATCTTGTATAGATATTAAATCTCTTAAACTCGACGAAGTTAGGTTTATTTAATTATAAATTTTCCCATGGTACCCCTTCAGTTCCATTAGTAAATTCAGGACATTATCTCGAAGAAAAATCTTTGGCAAGACAAATTAAATGAGCCCAATTTCGATGGGTTTGCTTTGTTTAATTACAGAGAAGGCTACCTTACGGCAAATCGGCTCTGTTCCATAATAATATTACATTGTCATCTAAATCATATATGCATGACATATATCAGTTCAATCGAAAACCGGAAAGTAGGTTAAATTAAGTTTCCAAGATATAATAAATATTAACTAGCTCGGCAAGTTTATATAAAAGCTTTTAATTAAAAAGAGACAGTGTTGTTGACACGTTTCACTTTCAATATTTTAATTTTAAAATGCATCTTTAATGCTAACAGACTTTCTCATTCGATAAAGCGTATACATTTTTAGTTCATTATTTTGTATTGAAACGAAGAGAAAATATTGTACCTACATCTGACGCCGCAGGGCTCGGATACGGTAAAACGTTAAGATGATGGCTGCATAATAACGATTTACCACTACCGAGATGTATTTTTAATTAACGTGGTTACTTTACGATCTTGTACTTGGCCCAGTGTTTTGAAATAGAAAGTCGAAGTTTACTCATTGTTCCGGAACCGAGACATCGAGGTCATGTCCAAAATATCGATAGAAATCCTGAATGCAGGAAGCTGTACACTGGCAGAGTAGCCGACCTTCCGAGATCATACCCGTTCAGTGATTACGGTTAAGTGAGTGCGTAAATTAATAACGATTAAGCCTAATGACGAATACAGATGTAAACAACACATTAGCTATTCGATGCAATGTTTATAGACGTGTGACGAGGGCCAATGAATAGTGCCTCATCATTTGATGGGTTCTTACATATTTTTCTGATAGAAGCATTGAAATTAAAATGTAGGTATTATGTGGATGAGATAAAATGCTCACGATCTTTTATGTTTAATGTAAGAACAATAATGTAAGCAGCGTCGAATACAATTTAGAAACTCGATTAAGTATTCTATTTATATTTAATGTTAATGAGGAATCAAGATTCGGATGCAGTAATAGCGCGGAAATAAGTCCAATGTAAACGGAAGTAGTACGAACGGTAGATTCGAATATGTAGCGAACGAATTGGAAGTAGCCAAGGTGCTCCCGCGGCGTACATTGGCTTCCATGTTTTATTATTATTCGATAAAATATATTACTGACATCCACGTGGGGCTATTTGATTAGTAAATGGATCTCTGTAGAGATTGCGACGTGTAATCTCTTTAGAATTGATAGCTCTGAGTGCAGGTGAGATTATAAAAAACGAGGGACGATGAATATTTGTTAAGCCCTTCGGACGATGAAAAGTTTATTTCTTTTCTTATATTATTAGCTCATCAGTTTGCTTGCTTTACGATCTACTGTCGAGTGATTAATCGCTGCCACCGTGTGAATAAAAATATAATTGTTGTTACAAGGTAACCTCCGTACAGTCAGAGATAAAACTAATCGTGCAATTAATTAAATTACTCTTCTTGAAAAAAAAGTGGTCCAAGCCGGTTCGAGGCTGCTGTGGAGATCAAATGGTCGCAATTACGTGTTCACAAAGCCTCAGCCCGGGCGGCGTGTGGCTGAGCCGGGCATGATATGTTCTTCACAATGCGATCACTAAACGACACACGCCCAAGGACTAGTGGACAATGCGAGGAGCGTTGTGGCTTCCGTGTTTTTGTTTCGTTCCACGTTAATCGTACAGTCGCTATTAGAATATAAATATTTGTAAGTATTAAACAAACCGATATTTAATATATTCCTTTGTTTATCTAACTAAACTTTTTTTGTGTTTTTCTTAAGCATATGAAAATGTTGATATTGACGATTCCGTGTTCGTCTACTGTAAATATCATTGTAGTATTTAAAGTTTTGAATTTGAGATTAAAATAACAATTACCTGTTTTACTAAGTATCCTAACGTCTATGTCAGTTAAGTGAGGCGTAGTATGGAGAATAATTAAATAAAATGATTCGTCGATAATATTTAGTTCCTTATTAGAGAATTTACTGTATTAAATACTGGTTTCTTTTTTATCCAACTTTTGTTTTTTTTTCGATAAAATATTCGGTTAGTACTAGATATGCGAATACACGTGTAACAAATGATTTGTGATAATAATATTTATTAATAGATGTACTTTTAATTATATAATATAGGTGCAGCTGTTTTCTCTTGACTTCACCCGTATATGGTGAAGCTTTCTGTATGATAAATTTTCATATTCGGGTCGATATTTCCGTAAATTACACCTTAAAAATAAACAAAGATCCAAATTTAAACTCTTTAATATATTCGTTTATATTGTTTGTTAGTGTAAATTGTCGTTCATGTATGTTTTGTTTAGTAATAATAATATAGCTAAAGGTCATGACACTAAGAGTTCGTTAGCATCGACCATCTGATGTTTACTACATCATATTTCTTTGAGAAACATTGACTTACAAAAACGTATAAGGCTCATATTCTTTTAATAACAAAGGTACTGACGCTATTATCTATACTATAACTGCAGGCTATTGTCTTACAAACGAATAGATTACGTTAACGTCAGAGAAATAACCTGAAAGAAAAATCAATAGTAAGTTTTTGTTTCTGTTATAACCATACCATTTTGGGAAGCGCTTATAACTCTGAAGTTTATTTTGAATCACCGGGTATGATCATCGATGTTAAGTGGTGTTTGACGGCTTTGTCTTCCGTTCTTGAACAGCGGTCATTGCTTCATAATGTTGCTTGTTACGCTGTATGAAGGGAGGAGAGTGGGGACTTCCTCGCAGTTGCGTTGCCTTCGTGTATATTTACACTTTATTTATATTTTTACCCTTTTTTATAATCACCTGTTGCCATTACCAATCATAACTAATAGTTGAATCAAAGTTACATGGTAATTATAAACTATAATTGTAAACTTTTGCAAAATGTTACATGCTATGGTAGCTTGTAATCTAGGTAACACTAATTGCTATGTCATCATTATAATCATTAGCTCTGTTACGTACCACAGCAGAGGCTCAGGCCTTCCTTATAGATGGTTAAGGAGTACGGGGCATGACCCTCCACGCTAGCTCAATGCGGATTGGAGGGTATTAACGACTGCAAATGCAGCCGGGACCAACGGCTTAGCATGCGGAATTTCTATGTGCTTGTTTTTATATTCTTCATGTCCTGCAAGCTGTTCTTAAATAAAAGAAATGAATAAAAGCATACAGATATAGGAAAACAGAAATGATTGAATAAATAAAATTTTCTTTTATTTACATATAATCCAACTAGCAGTTTTGGCTTGCGTAAATTATAGCTTGTAGCACCTGTGTATATATAGAACCAGAATAGATGAAAGAATTTTCATGTTCGGATCAGTGTTTCCGAAGATTACCCCCTGCTAGCAAACAAATAACTAAACTTTTAGTATAAGAATATCAGTAGCTCTTATAATTTACTCAATGATTCTTATTAATTAATAACAGAAGAAAAGGTGGACGTATTAATAACTAAGATGTTAAAGTTTTTAATGTGGTCTTTGTCATCAGATGCCTTGGGATTCGTCTGAAGAGCAGATGGGGGCACCACGTGAGATGCGTATCCATGTACAACGGGTGATCGCTATCCCAGCACCCCACAACATGCCCCCGCCCCCTGAGAACATGGGCCCCTTCGCACCTCCACCGCCACCCCCGCAACAACACCAACAGAACGAGGTACAGAATACATTTTATTCTATTTTAGGAACGACCTCCGTGGCCCAGTGGCTCGCATGTCAATTTCAGATGTCGCCATCTCCAAGGTTCAAAATTCGATTAAAATAAACTTTTCTATATAGTCACGGGTGTTGGTGTTGTACCTTCGATTTTTTCAGATTACCATCGCAGAAAGACTTTAGTTATATTTGGTTCATCACTATTGAAAACCACAATAAATGTTACGATTAGGTTACAACTATAATTAAAAATATATAATTATAAAAATTTTTATTTTTCTCATAATTCTTTTAAATATAATGAGTAAACAAATAACAAAATAAGTTATAAAAGAATATTATTAAATTACCAAACATCATAATAGCACCTATTGCAACAATTTAAATGCCATCATACAAAACTGACAAACATAATAATTTATTAACAATACAATATAATAACGCAGTTATATTTTTAAGTTAATTAAATGATGAATCAATATTTATATGATTATCAACTTATCTCTTACCGCGTGTATTATTTCTGGCTAATGGAGGAAGTTCAACATTGTTTAGTCAACAATTAGACTTATATTTAATTCAAAATCTGGTCTAGGTATATTTGAAAATCATCTTTATTATAAAATTATTTTAGCAAAATTTAGATTTTTGTGTCTCATCTCATACTTTATGGTTTTGCATTACATAATCAAAACTACACTCAGGTATGATAACGTCATTTCAATGTCTCAGTCCTGTCCCATCGCTGAGTAACCAAATTTTTTATTTTTATATTTAACCAGATAAAGTCATATGGGACAGGAGTGCTTATTTGTTTAAATCTCAAAGAAATTAAAAAAATGCAAATCAGTATTTAGGAGACTTGGTTGTTACGTTCTGTTTCCAAAGAGGTACTAAGGGTTAGTAAACTATTTTATTTATTTTTAAATATAAGAACTGGCTTTCCATCTGCGACTTCACCTGAGTGGAATTCGGATACTGTAGTCCCTTTTATATTTCACAATAAAAACTATTCTTTCCCACGGTCTACTCTATGTACCAAATTTCATTAAAATTGTTTAAATAGTTGAGGAGTGAAAAAGTAATACACAGACATATTTTACTTTCGCATTTATAATATTAGTATGTTGTTTATTCGTTATGCGGATATTTATATACATGACTCTACAGGTAAAATTATAACAGTTTTCATAGCAAAGTGTTTATTTGTCGTCTGTATTTGAATAATAGCCGTTCACGAAGCAACGGAAGATATCATTCATTATCATAATTCCTCTGCCTACGAAAGTCATAGTTTTTGGTTACTATTTGCCTAATAATACTAAACTTTACGATAATTTCATTCAGAAGTATAGATATCTCATCAGATATATTAGTTCCAAAATAATAAAAAAAAACATTGTTCTACATCGTAACTAAGAAATCTATAAATATTTCAAATGGGCAAGTTGTTTAATCAATTTGGCAATCATAAAACTGGCCTAAGTATAAGTTGTTCATTAGACTTTATTTATATATTGTTATTATAAAATTTCACTAGCATATTAGAAGATTTCAGTTATAAGTCTTATAATAATAATAGAATTCGGCTCTTGCGCTAGTATGCATGTAATGACAGTTCAAACGAAATCAACTACGAACGAAACGAACGGCGAGTATACTAGGAATAGGTTGTACAACCACAACGACGTAATTCCGGAGGAAGTGTTAAAATATGTGATAGTGATAGTTTATATCTATGAATTCAATACCTCTTTCGTAGTTTTCCAGTTGTTACATGTAGTTTTATAAGTTATGAAGACAGATGAATGAAAACTACTGCGGCTAGCGAGTATAAAAATGTTAATAATAAATTATAAAACCAATGACGATGTATTTCCGAAAGAGATATCAAAGTAGGTATATACATATATATCTTCTTTGATTAACCGTTTAATATTTAAATGTGAAATTACAAAGAAACCGATAACAATGTTATCCAGTAGGTATATTAAGAAAGCATTGTGAATACCAAAATTCATAGAAAATAAATACAAAATAATACCGTAAAAATCAATTGCTCTATAATTGACGTTGTGTATCATGTACGTCGTGGCGTTTCATATCGCTGGACTGTAGACCAGCGATATGAGCAGTCATCTCCAGCTAATAATAGAGTCAAAAAACTTTGTAGAGCGTTTACAAAAAAGATTCCGTTACTTGGCAATTTACAAGATTGTTAATGAGCGTAAATTGTATGGGATGTCGACATCTCCTACATAAAGCACAAATAATATTATTAGCCATTAAATTATATTCTTTTCCATTCATAATGAAAAGTCATAGTGAAATTAATATCTTTTTTCAAATAAAGTAATTTAAAGTACCCGTTTATGAGTAATCCAACGTTTTTTACCACAAAGAAGAACGAGCGAATCTCTGGAACCTAGAAGTTGATATAAGTACGGAAAATAATTTTCATCTGAGAATGAAATAATAATACGGTTTTATATCCTCCAGTAAGGTTTTATATTTTTCAGAACGTTTCTCTCTGTATAGGAAAGGTAGTTTGTCAGTTGTTGGTATAAGAATAAGGTCAATTTATCATTCAATGAAATAAAGTAAAAGGAATATTTACGTTTTCTTGGTATATTGAAAGAGAATTTCCTCATATGTTTATGCCATTCTAACATTTTAGGGTTCCGTAATTAATCCATGTTGTTGTCTTAGATCAGACACAAGGGTAACAAGAACCTGTAATACGTCATATTATAATGATCACATTGACTTTCCCTAACGTAGAGATGATTTTTTTTCTTGTCCAATATATATTGTAGGCTTGGAAAGCAATTTTGTGTAAATGAAGTATACTTGGGTAACGTTGCGTCGTACCCATTTCTAAATGTACTCATGAAATAATCATTTTTTATATAAAATATTAAGCTTGAGTAAGTCATACCAAATTTATGTCAATTTCTTTTACCCAAGTATTTCTAAAAAAAGGTCCTTCTGTTTTTTTTTTAACCCAGGTATTGTACGGTGCGTCACATCGTACCACCGTTTATTTCGTCCTAAGTTTTCGCATGCAACATTTTTGTTTTTTATCTTCAACATCATTTATTTTTAGTATTCACTTTTCGCCATTTAAAATTTTGAGCAATCCAATATGCTCTCTATGAATGTCAGTTCGTTTACTTCATTTACTTTTGAAGTAGGTTTAATTTGATTGAACCTGTATCACGTGCGAGTTTTTATAACAGAATAGTACTACGGTTTTTATTTGTGTGAAAATTGCTAATAGGTTTTTACATTGGATTTCAAATTCAAATTAAAGTCACTTATTAGTGTTTTAGTATAATCTACTATTTGGAATAGTAATTCCGTAGAATCTATTCCAATAAATATATAAATGTTTTTAGTTATGTAAAACATAATATATTTGACAACTACGGAACTGCACCGTTCGTGTCCCGATTTGAACTTGAACGGTTATTATACGCGGTTTTGGCATACTTTAGGTTTATGTTGCGTACCTAACATACTGCATTGAAACTACCAAAAAATAAATTGTGTATTGTCGACGAAGGCACAATGCGCAACAATCTTACTCGATGTAGTAGACACAATCTGTTATTGTAACTGAAACATCTATATTTCTAAACAAAACAAATAATTATAACAAAATTACGTATTCTCTAACATATTCTATTAGGACTTGAGGGAAAAATCTATATATATTCTAAGATTACTTACTTTACTCCAACTTATGTAGTGTTAATATGATGGTTAAATTATCGGGAGAAAAGTAAAACTATGATAGAATAGAAAAAATAAACGAAAAAATAATAGGTTTACGTGATCTCTTTTACAGCAGGCTTCTGTTCTTCACCAATTCGTGCCTCAGCCCGCCCCTACACAAGAGTTGGAGCAACCTGAAGTAAGTTATTAGTGAAGTTTTCTATTCATTAACACCGTAATGTGATTATTCCATAATACCCACTAGTGCAGATTATTAGGATCTACTATTTATCTATGAATTAAATTGTATCTTAGACAGATGACTTGGTTTTGGCCATACGATGTTTCTCGAAGTGAACATTGACACTTCACAGCTGTCAACGGTATTAGTATTGACAAAACGTAACATTTAAAAAACCGTTTCTGGTATAGAATAATATATATTATCCATTAGTTTTAACAACCTTTAAGTACCAAATGCCTAAAAAGGAGGTATTGAACAAAACTGGGCCTTCTGCTCTACATAGTCAATGCGATGCGTGAAAAAGTTGTAAATTTTGAGTTACCTTCTAACAATACTCCGATGAAAAGTGTACAAACGCTTTAGGGTACGATGAAAGGGTTGTTTAAGAAACCAATCCTTATCCAACCCTTGTTGAGTACACGTTTCACAAGATTTTCGATTTAAGACCAGATGCAAACTCAATGATATCCCAAAATAGGCCAGGTCTATATAATTTTTGCGGTTTGGTGTATATAGATCTGTCCTAGACTCCATTATATTTAGTACATCTTCTTTTTGCAATGAATTTTGAATTTAATTGTCAAAATGTTAGTTATTACATTTTAAAAATGATTTCTGGTCAATATCGAAGGATCGTACCAATATTTTTATTCTTCGTTTGAAATAATTACGGACTTGACTTAAATTTCTAGATTTGCGTGAGATGGTAGTTGAATCAGTCTATAAATTCTTTTTAATTATCAGGTCAATGGAAGATTAGTGCTTAGTAATAATAAATGTCTTCAACTCTTTTTCTACTTGTATAGTGGTTGAATTTAGCGTGGAACATTAACCTTGATTAGTTTTAATGACTTGTCAAATATGCCAGTAGTTATCCGGTGATAAATAGTGGCACTGAATTATTTCAATAAATAACCAAGTCTAACATATTTATTATCTGTACGTTGTAGTTCCTCTTAATTATTTATTCTTTGATAAGGAAGTTATTTTCCGATAAAATATTTTAAAACTTATTAGTTTGGTTTATTAATATACACTGAATGACAGATATAAATGATTCTAGTTATTTTAGTAAATCATTCCTTACACATCAGCGGCTCTTAGACTCTTTTTGAAACCAAATACACGTGTGCCCTAAAATAAAATATAATTTTATATATGCTGTTTAATAATAAATTAATAACAAACTTAATTTACTTTAACTCCGATTTTTGTCAAAATGTGATTAATATTTGCGTGGACTGCTGTAAAGAATGTAGTACAACCATGTGTTGGAGATCAATCTTCATAACAATTAAATAAATATCCATTAATACAGTAAAGTGTTTTGACATACAATGACGTATCGCGGAATATCAAGAACCTAAATAAATTTTAATTACTCGCATATCGTTTTGGTTATTGTAAAATCGTGTATACTATTAACTATAAACTGACGCACATGTTTATTAAAAATTTTAAATAAGATTTTATCAGGTAACTTTGTATTTGGATCAGTAGTATTTTACATCTACGTTTATATTACGAGTATATCTTAGTTAATTTAACAAATGTAAAGCTTGACGAGATAACTTAAAATATTTTTTATATTTAAAAATAATTAAACAATCTCTGCAACTTCGGATATTGCTCGATTCCAAAAGAAATTTAAAATATTCAAGTATAAATAAGTGTCTTTAATTGAACCACCTATTTAATTTGTCTTTGGATATATGTAAGAGGGCCCCAGCGATCTGTGTATAGCTATATCAGGTACTAGCATCCTCATGATATTAATTCATATTAAAGATTTCTTATTTATTTGTTCTACGGTCATGTTTATGGAGAAAAACAAATGCTTATTTTTATTATTTATACTTATTCAAATTATATTGAACAGGTACAGAAGATACAGATGGATGGCACCCCTGTCCACATGAACTTGCCATGGGAACTGACACCTGAAGATATCCACGTGATCCACCGCACCGCCCAGGACGCCGCCGCAAGTCAACGCCGGGAACAACAGGCCGACAACGACATGCAAGAGGTATAAAAAGTTATCTTTGACAAATATAAATCAAATTACAGCCTATGTCGCCCGCCTATAATGTAGCTTCCCGTACGTGAAAGAATTTGCATCATCATATTAGTATTACAGAGGTAACCCTTTACAAACAAAGTTAGAAACTTTACGTGTTTATAATATTGGGATAGATTTATCTAGCTATGCTATTGTGTTATAAAATCAACGCTGGACTCTACCACGAACGAAGTGCTGTTACAACATAGAGCTTAAATCAAATAAAACCTACTTCAAAAGGTATTAAAGGATTTTTATCTATCCGGATCGGGTAGTTGCTAATTTTAATCTATTTTTATTATATCTACATTTACCTATTTCCGTATCTGGAATCAGACGTTTTCTCGAATATAAAATGTTTGTGTTTGGTAGCTCAATCTAATATTTTAAGAAACTTTGTCCTGATATACTGATTTATTTGAAGATTGACATCAAACAGCGAAAACAGCTGAACGTAGAGACTTAAAGGAAGTACATTTGTTTTATTATTTATTTAACTAGCTGACCCGATAGTCATAATCCTGTATTAATTATAAATTTTTTACATCCTTTTTGACGATATTTGCCTACACATATTCTATCAATTCTATATTATGTCAAACGTTATAAGGTTACATTCAAAAAGTTTATATAATCCATAGCACAAAGATTAGATTAGCAATAATTTTATATGGTGGTTAAATATTCTTAAATTGTTTCACTATTTTTTTCCTTTCATAAGAACTTATTCCTGACAATAACAAACAACGAAAAAAGAATTAGTCAAACGTTATAAGGATACACTCAAAAAGTTTATATAATCCAAAGCACTAAGATTAGATCAGCAATAATTTTATATGGTGGTTAAATATTCTTAAATTGTTTCACTAATTTTTTCCTTTCATAAGAACTTTGTCCTGACAATAACAAACAACGAAAAAAGAATTAGCGAAATCGGTCCAGCCGTTCACGTGTGATGGCGTGACCAAGGGAAATAGGGATTCATTTTTATCTATATAGATTATCTTGAAAAACGTAGGAATGTACCTACTAAGGCTATGAAAGTTCTTTGTTTTTGAACTTATATGGTGTTGAAAATACGTATTTTAGTATTTTAAAATAAAAATTAGCATTTTCAGTTTTGGAAAATGATCAAATGAAAGGCATATACAATTGAACAATTCTTCATTTACATTTGTGGTAGAGGAAAATAAGCTACTGTAAATACTAATACTACTAGTTACATATAAATTAAGTGATGTGCTAAGCAAGGCTAGTAATCTTATTGTATTATTGAATATAATCAAGTTATAGTCATAATGGAAGATCAGAAAGAAGAGCCACATGTTAGACAATTATTCAGTTCCGACTAAAACAAAGAGCGGTAGCACTTGAATAATGGATATAACGTATATAAATAAATGAGTGTTCATTAATTATTTATGTACTTTGCTTATCCACATTATCAGCAAGAAAAGATATACAAAAAGTAGTTCGAATACCAACATAATATCTATTACGTTGTACATCAGTTTGACTTTGAATATTTTTATTCCACTCCATTTTGTTAATATAACTTATAAAAATTTTAATGTGTTCATTCTTATTACATATATTTGATCGATTTTCCATTCACAATGCTATATCGAAAAATTTCTTAAAGATAAATGCTTAAAAAAAGTTCGAGTCTCGTATCAGAGCGCCAGGGGCAAGTGTAAAAGTGTAAAAATTAAGAATATTTTTCGGTATTTAATGCTAAAATTGATATTACACAATGCAATTTTTATTACACAATGCTATAGCAATATAAAAATTGATCAAATATAATTATTAGTACAAAATTTCATCTTTATCGAAAGTTTAAATATATGTAAGAATATTTCTTTCACCTGTTTGGGTGGATTGCCTGATGAAAACACGCTTTGTGGTAAGTAATAAAAAAATCGTCAGTCCTGTTAGGTAGCTCAGTGGTTAGAGCAGTCGCCCGGATTGCGAAAGGTCATGGGTTCGAGTCCCATCTCAGAGTGCCAGGAACAAAGTGTTTTTTTTAAGCAGTCATCTGTGTTTACGTTATTCTCAAGGTCGAGAAGTGCTATTCTGTAAAGAAAAATATAGTATTGAACTCAACGCTGTCACAGCATTAGAGGTTCAAAAAATAAAACCTACTTTTAAAGATAATGAAGGTTATATTTGATTGTACCGCTCATCTATGTTCGACGTTCTATTTTTGATCATAAGTACATAGATAGTGTTACAGACACTTTTTTCTTAGTAATTTTGTTACCTCGTTAGATACGCTATTGAAATCACTTTCGCATCTCCATAGAGATAAAAGAACAAATTATTGTGATAACAGACGTCACCGATACCTAAATCTAACAGCCAGTCATAGTTTACTTCCAGCTCACACTATGCCTACCCCGGGTCAAACGTATCTGGTTCATGTCCTGCTTAAAACTAAAATGCAGTCCATCTCTCTTGTTATAGAATCGTCAGTTACTGATCATGATTGTGACTCTCAACATTTCTATGAAACACATTACAATATCCAACAATAAAGCATCAAATATAATAGACAGAGACGGGCTGCGCGATATTTTACTTAAGAACGTCTTATCTTCCATTCTGAACATCCCATTCTAATGATGCTAACGTTGCTGTAAACTTTCTTTACAACAAATTGGGATATGTAACATCCAACACGAAGATATCATCGATTAGCAAACGAAAAAGGTTAAAAAGCCTTAGGTTACACCTGGTTTGCAGCGATGTATGCGCAATAGAGACCTATTACATAAAAAAATGTAAAAAAAAACCTATAAAAGGCATAGAAACTTCTGCAATACTTTATTAAAAAAGGCGAAGAGATATTATGAACGATATGTATTAACGGACTTTGTAAGTTGAACTTAACAGGGAAAAATAATTACATTTGTTCAATGGAAATTCTTTGGCTAAAGTTTTTGTTCTCGTACAAATAGGTTTTAACAAAGTATGTGGGTGGTTAGAGAATGACTGACTTTGAATGTATCCAAAACCAAATATATAGTGTTTTAATTGAAAAGAACTCCTTATCAATAATGGGATCCATTACTGGTCATTGCTGTGATAAATCTAAAAACCGCCAATGCCTCTGCCCACTTCTGGAAAAAACTAAAGTAATTAGAGTAATTTTAGGAGACCACATCGACTGTTTTCTAAAGTTTAAACACCACATTGAAACTGTAGTGACGAGACAACGAAAGCTACCTAATGTTTGTTTTCAAAACTTTAAACACATAGTCGATTGCAAATTATTAAAATCTTTTTATTTTGCTCTTTGTCAGTCTGTCATTGATTACTGCATTATTTTTTGGGGTGGTGCAGCTAAGACTCATATAATTGAGGTAAAGAACTTACTTAAATTAGCAGTCCACCTACCATATTTTTTACTCACTACTGAACTGTATAAGACCTGGGAAGTTTTGACAGTTAGAAAATTAAACATTCAACAGACCACAATAAAATATATTTGGAATTTACATTTGATCCTATCTATCTTAAAAATGACAAATGAAGAAAAAACAAATCCTGTAGTGTACCCCTTTGTAGAACTAGTACATGTCAAAACCATTACTACTACCTAAAACCCTACATAGCCAACGAAATTAATTTACACATTGCAAAAATCAAAGTCTAAGTACACTTTAACAAACTATAGTTACACTAGATTTAAAAAAAACAGGAAACCTGCTCACCCGTTACAAATAATTGACTTTTATAGTTACAAAGTAATATTTATTACCTAATACATATATACATTTGCAATAAGTCTATTTTATATATTTGTTTTATTTTGAACGAAATTACATAAGTCCTTAATCTAAGATGACATATTGTTTTCTTTATTAGCTTGTCTTATTCCATAAACTTAAATGATCCAAAAAGTGCGATTCTTATTAATTCATCGTCATTGAACTCTAACAACCCAGCATTATGTAAGTTCAACATATCTTACGGATTTCCAAATCGTTATATTTATTATCTCAATTTCAATTATTAAAAAAAAGGTAATAACGTGTTCCGTGTACCTCCCCATGATTTTGAAGTCGGTTAAAAAAGTATTTCATAGATTATTTTTAATTATTATTGTTTCATTCGAGTCTGCTTAAAACATCGGTGGAAAACGCGTTGTGGAATGATATCTAGTATCCTTTGTTACAGGTCAAAACCATAGTGAACACGCTCGCGGCCGCCGTAGAGGCTGACGCAGAAGCTCAGGCTCAGGCCGAGGAGAGGCACAGGCAGGAGGCCGCCGAGCCCGCCCCACGCGCCCCCCGCACCCTCCTATTGCCTCAAGATATGGACGAAAGGCCCCACTGTAAGTAATTGTATTTTATAAAAATGAGTCAACGAGAGAAAAAGGGTTAACACTCAAAGCTGTCCATTGTAAAGCAGCCTGCATGTACTCCCACCGGCCGTTACGGAATGACGCATTTTATACGACGGATCAAAACGCTACAATAAATCATTGTCGTGTTGATCGGCCATGAATTTGGTTGTAAAATTACAGATTAAATTGATAAATCAATACGTAAATAATAAACAATTTTAGTTTTATCTCGAAATATGTAACTTTAGCGTCTATAAACACATATTGCAATAGAAGACAGCCTTACTAATTGTGTTGTTACATTGTAATTTATAGAAGTCGGATTCACGCATTTTGAACCCAGTCGGTAATTAGTAAATTTGGAATATATACATTTCCTACAGGGACCGGAGCATTGCGAACTTGATTTCATTGTTGGTAGTATTGTATCTGTTTTTTAAAGAGTTTCGTTATAATACTCACTTTCAAGAGTTCTATAATGCAGGGTCATACATATTCTATTCGAAATAAAGTAATGTACACCTTAACACTTAACTAGTAACAATTTTAGTAGTATATAAACTTTTCTGAAATACATTTGATAAAAGTAATTTATTTCAATAGTATAGTTAAGAAATACTAATATACAGGGAAGTCAACATAAGTAACACTATTTGATATTCTTAGATTATTTGAAAAAAATAATAATTTGCAGCGCCTGTGTTATAGTCCTTTATCACCACAACCTTAATAGGAATAATAAATTCTTGTCTGAATGACCTTATTCGTTTTCCTGAATTAGGCGTTCATGAAACAATGCATAGGTACATGATACAAATTTATTTGTGTCACCGGTAGCTTATGGTTTTTTATCAATGTCGTCATTTAGACCAATTACTTATTAATTAAACGCAAATGGAATATCCACTACTTATGTACGTGCGGATTTTCATTATATCTTACACATAAATTACACACACACGTTTATTAAATGTTTTACTAAGTATAGAGTCTATTTTAATTTTAATTTTCTTATCAGGGATCATGGACTACTATGTCCATGTCAGGGATAGAATTATGAATTGGTACTTTTTTTGAACAGAGGAAAAAAAAAAATATAAGCGACACAAACGATATCAAATTTAGAACGAATAAATTAATTTGTTTTTTTTTTCTTTTTAGATATGCAACCTCGTTCTGTGCGCAGTGTTGACAGCTTGCTGCAAAATGAAAAGCGCGTCAAGCGCTGCGCTTGCAGCTGCGACTAGGCAACTTAGAAGATGCTAGCGCGGCAGCGGCTTGCTGGCATTGGCACCGCAATCCGTCCATAAAATCTCAATCTTTTTGTAACAAAATAGTTGTTAAAACACAATTGTTTGTGGTTGTGTTACCGCTTGAATATTCTGTAAATAAAGTTGTTAATTCCTCCGCTTTGAATATATCTTTTTTTTTTATTTCCAAACAAAACATTAATAGTATATATTTATTAAAATTATGTTTGTTAAATAATGATAATATTAATGAATATCGTTTTGGTATTTGCAATAAACATATTATGATAAATGCGTAAATTTTGTCAAGTGTTTTAAAAACGGTAGGTAATTTTAACGCTAGGACTTTCTGTTAAGAAACAGCAAGAAGTATTATGTGCATTACGATCTTTTGTATTTAACGATAAATTTTATTTACAAAATTGTTTCTTTGGATTTTCAAGGTGACTTCAATAATTATAAATACTTGGACTTCCGATAAGGCAACTGCATTTATTTCTTAAACAAATTTGTTAATGCCTATAAGGGCCTACCAAAAACTATCAGAACTTGTGATACTGTCATATAAAATTTAATTTACAATAAATTGTAATCCTAAATTAAATTTTTATTAGTTTTAAAATGTATTTTTTATTTAAAACCTTCGTCATTAGAATATGTTTATAATGTATCTTACCATTTTCCTAGCACTAATGCTTGCGTAGTTTGTGGTACAGATACAACTAGTGCTAATAGTATAATCAAGTAAACAACTAAGTAATTAAGGTACAATAATGGTTTGCGTCACTAAGTAGTATGTGAGTAACATGGTAAGTGGGTATTTTATACTTAGTACAAATTATGGCTTTATAAGATCAATAATTTTAAGTTGATCCATGAAAGCTTATGAGAGAGCTGAGAATAATTTTAATGGGGAGTCGATTAGTCCTTTTTTTTAATATAACGGCATCGATCAATAATTCTTCTTCTTTTTTTAATACAGCATATCAAATAACTGAATTTTCATAACTGCATTTAGAACTTTCTGTCGACGTTACGAAACGATATTTTTGCTGGCATATATGAAATATAACGTTTAAAAATTGATAGATGACATAAGTTTTGGTCATTTTCAAATTATGACCTGAGATTACGAAAAAATGAACTTTATTTGATTTGAAACATCAAAGAAAATCGACGATATTAGTTTTGTCATAATTTAGCATTTTGAAGATTGTACACGGTAAAGTAATACATTGGCCTATGTTTATAATGCCTTGAAATCTAAAATGGCCATATTGGGGCTAGTGGCCAAAATCATTTCTTCTTACCTTTTTATAATAACAATCTCTCATAATAGTTTATTTCGGTACAAGCGAGCAGCAATGCGGCCACCTAACCTTTACTTATTATGATTTTAGCCATAGATATCCTTTTATTAATTTTGGTAATGAATAATTATGTTCTTTTATGAAGATATTTTTTTATTATTTATATGTTTTATCAAATATTTTGAGTGTGCCGTTCTTCCGGTTACCACTCCCAACCATATGTATAATATGGTTGCTCACAATAAAAGAGTCTAACAAAAAAAAAAGTAATTAGTTTGGTTTGTTTGGCTTATCGTCTTATCGGTCACTAATATAGACAAGTATTGAGCGATGCAGTAGTATAGTAACTTTACGCGTATAGATGTGACGGCAGCAAAACGCCTAAGCCACCTGTTTTAAGGAACATGCTAAGGTGTTAAGTCTGTAAAGCGAAGGCTTGTATAGTTTAGGCATACAGAGTGAGAACCTTTGCTCTATATAATTTGAAAACATTTTGCCGGTGCGAGCTTTAAGGTGTTGTCTTGGCAAAATTTTACGTTTGATACTCTATCGTAGTATCACCACGCTCAACATAGACAATTCAAATATCATTCTCTAAACTAGACTGAAATAAAAAACTAACCCAAGAGATGTAATTATACTCCTATTTTGCAAAATTTAAAATGCAGTTTGATACGACTAAACCTAAATTTAGTTTAGCAACAAAACTATTATTTATGACTCGTTGGAGTTAATTCACGATGAAAATGTGGTGACGTCTTATTTCTTCAGGTAATGCCAACTTGTAGATATGGTTTAGTCGACAATTGTCAGATTTTATAAATGTCGGCATATGTCATAAGAGATGTTGGAAGTGTGAAATTGAAATTAAAAGTTTCGATTAATATAAAATCTACTTGAACCATTGATGTCTGAGAAAACAGATATTTTTAAACAGTAAAATAAAAAAAAAAACAATTTTACCCGATTGTCTCATAGTGATATTATAGATTTTATAAAAACATCGATGTTATGTGAGCTAAATAAACTAATAGTAGATATTTGCACAAATTAAATAACCATTCCTAGAATATTTTCAAAAAAAGCTTTGTTATAATTTTCATAATCAGTTCTGTTATCGATACGAGTGTTAATCAATTGTGAAAAAAAAGTGTTGTTCTCATAACATGGATATTTTTACAAGCATAACAACGATATTTTTGCGCTAAACATCGATAATCAGTACATATATAAAATTCTTGATTTGTGATGTTTTCAATTATATCATCCCTAATTTATTTATATATTGGAGAAAATAATCAATTCAGACTTGATCTGAACCCTGTATCCTGTTACGTCACCATATCCAGCTCTACTCCGAACCTCTAGTTGCAAAATTACGGTTTCTTACAAATACTTTCCTCTTAAGGCTGCGCCTTAAGACAAAAGAGAAAACCAGACGATTGATTGATTAATATTATAAAGAGGTTAAGTTTTTAAGTATATTGGTTTGTAGGGGGTTATTATTTCCGAAGATTCCGAAGATATATATATATATATATATAATTCTTTCTCCTACAGGAAACTACATCATACCCGGTTGGCATATGCTGTAACTTATGTGGGTGAAGTCACGGCTAAAACAGCTAGTAAAAGTATAATTACGAGGGTGGCATCAAGTTTTCGGCCTGACCAAGATTTGAGGGTAGTATGTAAACTAATTTATTTTCATTCGACAGCTCGATTCTTTATTTGATCGTATGTCAAGTACCATTGTTGAGACAAGGGGAGAATGTGAAGAAAAATAAAACATGTTTTATTTTTATTTTCTTTGTTTTCTTGGTCGGGCCGAGAATTTTTGAAACCACCTCGTATGAAAAGTAATGAACTAAATGGTTCAGTTTAGCTTTGTGTTATTTTTTTATAGAAAAAATCTGTTTCGTTGTAATCAATACACTTACTAGGTGAAAATTTGTGATTTTTATTTAAGGCTCCCTCTTAAACACTTTCCGTTGCAACACGTAGAAAAGACGTGAAAATAAAAGAGCTCTAATGGTTAATTAAAACAACGTTCCGCTCCGCTTCAATGAAGTGGCACCCTTAGAAGGCGGCTTGGGTGGAATATTGCGAGCGAGGTTATTTTCTATTCCGACGTCATGATTATTGCCCGTTTTTCTTTCGAAGGCTTTCGTTAAGCGTTCACTTCTCTTCGATCAATTGTTTTCAGTATAAGACATGACATTTTATTTAACAGAAAACAAAGGTCGAGACTTGGCCTTTGTTATTTTTTTTGTTAATAAACAGGTATCTGGGAATAGCAAAAGCAGTAAAACTTGTTTAATGATATTTATTTTTTATTTATTTGGTTTTGTTTTAATGCAGTTATATTTACAATCATTCAGTCATTATAGTAATTTACATGTTTTACGATATGCCTATAATTATATATACAAAATTTACATGAATCACATTACATTTATATCGTATATGTACATAATGTATGCTTTTATAAAATAAGTTTAAAATTAGTTTTCAACTGATATACTACAATTAGGTACAGAGTCTGCAGTCTTATTGTTACTTTTGAAATTCAACAAAATAAGTATTATATAAAAACATAGAATAAAAATATTCAACAGAAAACCTGAAATGTAGCTTACTAATAAAGTTATAAATGACTTGAAGCACCAAAGCTCTATGACGTCTTTAGAAAATAAGTAGAAATTTATAACAAGGCACAGTAAGAAAGTGATGATTGTGAGACTTCTAGCAAATTTTCTTATTTGATCTTTCAGAACTTTGAAAAGAACCGTCAAATATAATATTGTGCCTAACAACATCAGAGGCCATCTGAACAGACAGCATACCAGTAAGTATAATGACGTCTTATCTAATACCTCATTGATTAGAAGGGCCGTGTACGCAGCGCTGATAGGAATCGGCAGCAACCAAGCGCACATCAGCACTCTCCACAGTTTATTTTCACTTATCTTCACTAACACCACTATCAAACTATCGTACATGTGTTTAATAAAGAAGAACACCAAAATAACAATCACGAAATCAATGTAAATTTCCAGTGCCGTTCTTACACCAAAAGAAATATATATGGTATTTTTTTCATTCAAATAAACAATTAAGAAAACTACTCTCTTCACAAAGCGCACCACACTTAGTTGCATCAGCATCTGATTCCTGTAGTTTTTCCTCCATCGATTTAGTTTAAGAGCTGCTACCGTACATATAATTAATTCTAGGGTTGTCATCACAATTTCAATAATAATGAAAGTTTCGAATATCGCTGAAGTATCCGGAGAGTCGCTTTGTAGTAGCTGCTTTGCATCAGAAACACTTTCCGTAATCGAAACATTTTCTCGAGAGGCCGATCCTGTGTTGTCTTCAAATTCCGTTTTGTTAAGAGATATTGTCATGGATGAGAGGGACACGTCAGATTCACTGTCTTGCGTAGCGTTTGTCATTTTAATTGCATTTATAATAAACAATCAATAAAATAATTATTGTAAACAGTGCAGGATCTAAGTAATCAAAACAACGACGTGTAAACACTGCAACAGTACCAATCAGACTGGCTAAACTTAATGTCTCATAAAACAGGAAACCACTTGTAATATTGGTCATTAGTAAACGTTCATTGGATTTATTGGAATTCGCATTTGACTGACGTCATACCGGTGTAACAAAAACCCCACGGATTGCTCATATTTGTCGACGACGTTTTAAGAACGTAATCAGATGGAAGCTATAATCTTAGAGCATTGAAATATATGTTTCATTCAAATCTTTAGAAGTGGAAATTTCTAAGGATATAATGAGACGATGTTATTAAAGTATCCATCAAAGGAAAGGGAAATTTCAAGAACGAGTTACATTTCTCCAACATGGAGTATATCAAATTAATTGATATATTGGAAATGAATCATACGATTAGTGATATTATCAAGTAGCATTTGCAATACTATTAAAATTACATATTATTTTCTATTCATTTATAATTTACGTAATTAGTTACTTTATTGAAATTAAATTTGTAAATATATTTATACTTTTGGTTGGTTATGATTAAGGCAAAGTCCAGTATCTTATCATCCGACAACGTTCTCTTTGCTTATTTCCTGGCTTTGGTTATTCAAACTATTTAGATATAAGATAATAAAAAGTTGTCTATCTAAATTTTCTGATCTAGAAAATGCATAAGCTCTCGCTAAAAACTCTAAATGGTCGAACCAGTCTGCGTCAATGATGCTTTATAAACAATCATGTTTATCTAAATTGCATATGAGGTTTTTAATGCCTCTAACAAATAGAAGTTCTTTCATAGAATAAATGCCTCATGTCGTATAACTTGGAGATTCAATTGGTGATCATGTTGAGCTGGCAGACTAAGGTAGATTGTATTAGCCTCGAAATCAAAAATATCCTAAGGTTTTTTCATCAGTTCAAAACATTTTCTTTCAGTTTAAAGTAAAATTGTAAAGTATGATCACATTCTTCTTTTAATGCTGACAATTTTCCAACGTTGTGCCTTGAAAATCTTTTCTACTCTTTTTCTTTATTATAACCACATACTTTTTTTAATTCCTTTATTGTTCTACTATTTTGTAAAGCTTAAAAGCTCTTGGCAGCCCAGTGAATTTACCGTTTTCTTGCGAGCATGTTATCATATAATCCATATCTTAACAAAAATTGGTGAAGAGCAACAAAGTATTTACAATTTATCACATTATTTTCTAATAGAAATTGAAACTATTTTGCGAGCCGTACAATTGTAAACGGGGGACATATTCTATTCGGTTTTATCTACACTAATATTATATCTATTCTAATATGGTATAGACTCTGAAACTATTTTAAAAATTCTTTCATTTACGAGAAGCTACATCATATGCGGTGAACATGCGCTATATTTTATCCCTAAAAAGAGCAAATAAAGGAATGAAAATAGGAGTGGATGTTTTAATGGGAGAATCAAAACGTCACCATAGTAACTATTGACTATTTAATTTGTCATTGTCATTACATCCATGTCATGATATGAATAGATATCCAAATAAACAGTTCTCTGGGGGACGAAGAGGGTGAAACAGCTACCGGAAAGTATATAGCCAATATATATATATATACAATCATCATTAGCATTTTAATGTTTCCATTTCTGGTATAGGTCTTTCTTGTAAAAAATACGTATGAAAACGGGCTATAACCAACCAAGCGGGTTTAGTGTGGTTTGGTAGGTGTTTACGGCTGCAGGTACAGTTGGGATCAACAACAACGTGCCTTTCCAAGCACCGTACTGAGTTGCTAGAGGTCATAAATTTTTAGTTACCCACGCTATAGCCGCGACCACTGCGAAGTTTTTTTTGCGAATACATAAAATTTTAATTCTGTTAAATTAAATTGTAAATTATGTCAATCATTAGAATAACTAAGGTAAACTAAATATTTATATTATACAAGAGAAAAATTATTTTTCTTTATATTTTTGACGAAAACATAACGTTAAAACCAACCCATGTCAATAATAAGATTTTTTTCGCAGAGTTTAGTTTAGGTGATACAACAGAATTGGCACTAATGCCATTAATAGCGTACCGAACGTGTTATTTATTGTGCCATTGAACTATTCAGATAATAAATACGAAAGAAGGTCACATTTATTTAGTTATTCATTCTAGAATCCGATATATTATTTTAATCTTGTATCACTATTGTTTTGGCTTTAATTTCTTTTAAAGATATATTTTTCTTTAATGTATTCACTTTCAAACTATACTATATGGATGTTTAGCAACTGTATTTCTCGTAAGCCTGGGAAAGTCACTTAACAACGGAGTAGCCGACGAGTAAATTGCTGTGATCAAACTTTGCGTTCTTTCTTATTTCATGTATTTTTTCTCTCTGCATCGTTGAAGTATCAGTCCTCTTCCATTGCTTCGCAAGTTTTTCTTATTCATAAATTATTCAAACTTATCCTCCATTGCTTCAGAAAGGTAAGGTTTATTCACTTTTTTGCACACCGTCGGTCATTTCGTGTTAACGTTATCAACTTGATGCTTGTTATCGTTTGACAAGCTTGGAGATAAGACTTTATATTGTAGCTCTTTATCATGACTCTGGTGCGAAGCCAGATAGGGCCAGTAAAGGGTCTATTTAGGCGCTTTCACCATATTTAGTTTATTGAGCATAATAATGGTTTATGTCTGACGTCAACGCTTCGTGATAAAACACAAATTTGATGGAGTAATTAATTTACGAGCTCGTAATTTAACAGCGTAATATTATTAATGACTGAAGAACCATAATTGTTTTTCGTCATTAGAAATCCACGTTTCTATTTAATTACTATTTTAATAAAATACAACTTTGAAATGAGCTAGATTTTTATCATTAGTGGTTAGATTTTTATATATTTATATTATTAATAATAATAATAATAATTCATTTATTGCATGTCACATAGTAAAACAGGTGTTATTATTAGGTACAGTTTATGTGACACCCTGTAAGGGTGTAGCAAATTTAATTTAAAATTAAAATTTCATTGTAAATAGTAAATGCTTTAAATAAAATCTTCTATATCTTCACTTTCCTCTTACATTCATAAAATTTCATTTAAATTCACATTCGTCCCTAATTTTCATTTTAAAAATAATCATAAGTATATAAAACTAATGTTAATTGTCAGGTAATTTTCAATTAAGTACAATAAATGTCAAATGCTTAGAAATAAAAATTATAAATTATGTCACAATGTAGATGTCAAAACAAAACAAAAGTTAAATTGTCAAGGAAGAAAGAAAAACATGGTATGTCAACGGCAATAAAATATTACAATTTGTCATCAAAATATTCTTGGACATTATAATAACACTTGTCAATGAGAATTTGCTTCAATGTCGTTACAAACTTTTTGATATTAATTTCATTTTTTAAATTATGGGGTAACTATTTTATTGCCATTTCATAGGGACTCGTACTGTGCAAAGTCAATTGTGATTTTGGAAGTATCAAATTATTCTTGTATCTCGCCGGATATCTCCTCAGAATATCATTTTTTTTTGGTAAAGAAGTCAGGATATTTTTTAACTAATTTACAAAGCTCTAATATATACGGAGAAGTCACAGTCAATATCTTAAATTGCTTAAAGTATGGTCTACAACTACAAGTAGTGTTAATATTGGCAAGGATTCGTATGCATTCGTATGCATTATTCTATTGTCTCCAATTTCTGGTTAGTTATGAGTCTTATTACGAGAGTATTACTTTATTTTATTGGTACCTTATACTAAGTTATTATATTATTGTAATGAAATTAATGTTTACGACATTTATGAACAAGCGATCTTTTTGCTTTGATGTGCATTTGCAAACATATTTTTAAAATGTTTCTATGTATTTGAGACTGTATCTCCTTCTCTGACTGGACCTCTTAAATACATTAGAGGCAAATCAGTATGTTTTATATCAGATTTGGCTACAGACTGCTATTTTGATTGTTGTGGCATTGAAATTAAATAGTAGTAAATATATACAGAATACCAATCCAAACGAAATCACACATAGGCATATTTCTGTACAAACTGGATAAACTACTGCATTTGTTTACAACCAAATGTATAAACAGAAAAATTGTGCTAGCTGTGCGGTAACTGGTACATAAATATTTTGAAAAAAGATTCTGCCACTAATTATTTATCAGATACACTACATAAACATGGCTTAAAAATTTACATTAATTAATTAACCAGGAAAAAATCATGCAATGACCAAATTGCTTGTAATATAAAATCGACAATTCCTGAAATTCATTATCTGTGGTTATCGGATCATAAAACAGCTCAAACAATTCCAATAAAGGTAAAAAATAAATAAAACATTACTCTACTTGGATAACTACAACGTATCCAAATTTTGTGAATGTTTCTGATGTACTGAATAACGACAATTTTGTTAATGCGTTCCAGTATTTTATGATAAGTACGTCTTTTTTACGACCTTTGTTTTCCAATAATCAAATATAAAATGAATAATCGCGGTAATAAACTAATTTGGCTATCGAAAAGTATTAAAAAGTAATGTAAAAATAAGTGTTCTTTATTTTTTAAATACTGTTGGTGTTTGAGAACGCAACCTACATTGTTCTGTTAGTTTAATTGATATACATATTTTAAAGTGTTAGGTTGGCAACGTCTTTTTTCTCTTTTCCGTTTTTGTTGCGTACCTACTGCTGTAAAAGTTTTTACTCAATATACGTTATAATTTTACCAAACTCTAAACAGTTTTATTTTATAAACCATCTCATTATATTAACATGGTAGCAAAGCGTAGTTGATTAATGTATAAAACGCAGTTAGAACAAATAAAATTCCGACACGTGTATCGAGCCTCCGATTAACCTCAACTCGAGCGGCGCCATTCAGTAAATGTTGTAAAAAGGTGTCAAGTCTACGAAGAAAATGTCTAATACAAGCCACAATCCGTTTCACATTGATAGACTCGTGGGAAGAGACAATAACGCGACATGGAAATTCGCAGTAAAAGCATATTTTAAGTTGGAAGATTTGTGGAGTTGTGTTGACGG